AGTAGTGACAACCACTCGTTGGGTCGCAGGCGCAATTCGCTGCACAACGCTTTCAACGCACGGACAATCAATCGGTTGACCACCTCGACCGTGCCGTTTGCCCATGGGCAATGTGGCGTCACAAAATGGTGATGTGAGGCATTTAGACTTTCCACATGCGTTCCATCATCTCGTTCTTGAAATAGGATCCACAGTCGGACACCAATGTCGGTAGAGGCCAAAATAGTCCATCAGTGCGTCAGCCTAAGCTCGTGACGTGACACACCCGCTAGCATGCAGTCGAACGAACCCGCTCATGCCGTCCTTGATCACCAGAAGGTGCTTGAAACCGTCTGCTGTCTCAGGCAATGACAGCCTGTCGAAGTGAATCAACTCATTTGGATGCGTCGCATGCAAGGCATTACCCCATGGTCACGGCATCTGTCGCCGTCAACTACCATACAATGCAGACAATCCTGCACAAAGCTCTTCACATCGGTCTTGAGCGTCGACCACTCAAACAACACCATAGCAACAGTGGCGTTCACACGTCGGTGTCCGGCCACGCCGGCACGCGAAACGACGCATATGCTCACTTGCGGGTCCGCCGCGTCGTCTGGAATCCACACAAGACTCGCGTCGGTCAAGGAGTACTTGCGTACATTGCACCATGGTCCGGATGGGCTCGTTATACGCTCGTGATTACATCGGCAGTTGGCCTGTTGAGGATGTTGACACACGACAACGGCCACGACGACCCTGGAAGACCAACCCACTTGAACAAATCACGAACCCCGACGACACCATGAACGACAACCTGTCCACAGCCAAAGGTTGCTGTGGAGATACATGTAGAACGATAGATGAAGAGCGCAGACCAATCGCGCTCGCTGGATGATTAGAAGGATTAGGACGATAGCAGTCTAACCCACAATGCACTTCGGAATTCACATCGGCTTCAACAGCCAAGTCGCTCGACCTCAGCACAAGTGCAACATGGCCAATCGAACTCGGTTGACTGCAGCGGCGATACCAACGCATTTGGACATACGAGCCACTCGGTTGGCAACAATCGAGGCACATGAGCGGCTGAGTAGATTTGCTCATACGTTATCCTCACCCGCAACGCAGTTAACAACGTAGAGATAGGTCGTCATGGTCAACCCCCATCGCTGAAGCTTGTGGGCTTGATATTCTGCCATGTTCGAGTTTGTCCCTAGCGGGTTAAGCATGAACACGTGGTTACAGAGGTCCGTGAACAAACGGAAACCGCCCGGACACACTGGCAGGTACACGAGACGCTTACACGCTTCAACGACCGCAAACGTTTCCTTCTTCACTATCGATAATCGCTCACTCTAACCACGAAACGCACCACTCAAGAGCGCCAACGGTTCATGCCGCTTCTCAGGCAGAGGGCGTACCAGATTGTTCTAGATAACCTGGGTCGCCATGGCGCCCCAAATACGCTTCACTCGCATCCGTGTACAGGCAAACCATTTTCGCCGGGTCATGATGGGCCAGTGGTACCATTTGCCGTAGTACGTCTTTGACGCGTGCGAAACACTGCAGGTGCTCGTCGCACCATCCGACAGACGACAGAGACACTCGCCGCAAAGCGGACTTCTTTCTCCGCATTGGCAATTTCGCCGCCACATACAACAATTTCGTCAGCGGAGCTACAAGCTCAGTGTAGCACGGGACATTCGCTCGCATCCAGTTGGTGGCACGCATAAACTGCTGCAAGGCCGCGGCCGTATCAGGCGGTTTGAGGTCGCACAAACCTTGCACGCGTTCAGGCCTCTCCATGCTCGGTGACTTGCTTGCCGCACCAAAACGTACAGTTTCGCACACATTTATACCCGGGTGTAATTTGAGCCCCCATAGGACCTGCAAATTTCTAAAACACGGCGCAGCAATTCCAACAGGTCCTCAGGCGTGCATGCGTACCCGAGGAGATCATCAAGCCATCTGAGCAAACCATGCTTTAGCAAATCTACAAACGATTCGTCTACAACGCCTTGGCAGTACGCGATGGCGTCAGTCTGCCCATCAAGACACGCGTGGGGGTGAACAAGCCAAGCGGTGTCATGAGGGAGTAGAATTATTGGGAATTCGGATGCAGAGGCAACTGCCAGTACCCCTTCATCCAGTCGAGCGTAAAGTAGCACGTTGAGCCTTGCAGGACGGACATCGCGACCTCCAGATTGGGCATCGGTTCCGTGCACGCGTTGACCGGCCGTAAGTCGACGGTCATCCACAAGTCGCCCGAGTCGTTTTTTGAGTCAATCCGCGCCGCCGCAGCCCATCGCGACCGAGTGTTGCGGTAGACTAGCCCCGCCGCCTCAAGCTCGCGCATGTGCTTCTCCAGATACGCTACGTGAGTCGGCGGGTAGAGTCGCCAGACTTCACCGGGACAGCATCCGACTTGAGGCGCACCATGAGCGGTTCAACTTTCACAGGCGGATCGTTTCCAAATCGCACACAAGATGGCGCAGCGCGTCCACACTCGCGGCTCACAGCCCTTCGGCGGCTGTGTCGCCCACTTTAACCGTATGCAACTCGCTCACCGCAGCAACGTCACCACAACTCTGCTTGTCGGCGTCTAACACGCTAGACAGCTCTGGCGTGGCACAACACATTCTTTCGTTACCGTCAATCTCATCTGCCACCACGGCGACGCGCATTGAGCGGTACCTCGCCGCACCCGTCGTCGCAGTCAGGCCATCATCAAAATCCCAGACTACTTGATGACGGGACGCGTTGTCGAACAAATCCTTGTTGTCGTAACCCAGCTTGCTCATCATAGGCGCACCGAGCGTAAGCTCCACAGCAGATACAGATTCGTCTACCCACATACGCAGGCCACGCAAAAGCAACCCGCCATGCGCCGTCTTAAATTCGACACTAGACAACCGAAATTGCTTCGTTACACGCACTGGTTGAGCATTCGCCCCGTAGGGCTGCAATCTCATGCTGCCGACATCCGTCATCTCAGGAGTCGCACCAGCGGCATGCAAAGCAGAAACCAAACCATCAGACACCACAGACAAGTCTGCACCCGAACTAAGCAGCTAGACATTGACAGGCACAGTGCCCTCAACAACGCATTGTAGATTATCACGAGAAGTAACCCCATCAGTACACTGAATCACGAGCATGGGACCCACGAGATTGTCGCTTGGTTGTCGCTGGCCATCAATGCGACTGTTTACCCGCACTTGTGCATGTGTCTTCAGTGCTTTCTCGCAACCATCGCACAAATAGTTGCACGCCCATTCTCTTCGGCTTGTTCCTTGACATCAGCACCACCACCGCCAAGCGTAGAGATTCGGGCTTCACAGTTCGATGATGGGCTTCACAGCTCGATGACAAACTGAACGACGGTTTGTGCTTCTTACTTGAGCACCCATTCCTGCCGATCGCGGCGCGCTTCTGCAGCAGGCCATCCGACGTATTGCCGTCACCGACTCAGCGTCGGTAATCGACATATCGAAGAAAATTGACCTTTTAACGTGCTTCTTCAGGCAATCAAGCGCACGAGGTTCGAAACCAAACCAGAGCCAGGCAACCCATTCTTCTCCCGTCAGATGGAACACCTAGCGAATTTCGCTAAGTGTAGTGCCGAGTTGCCTCGGCTTGGTCGCGACTTCGTTCGCCAGATCTTCGAGCACTGTCGTACGATTGACAAACGATGCGAAGCGGTGAGTCGGCTGGAATATCCAGTATTGACGTCTATTGTGTAGGACGGTTCGGAAGCGCGAGGAGGTACTCGCGTCCACGGGATCCCTTCACCACGTGATTCTGGTGGTGCGTCGGTGCACGGCTTCGTGAATGCGGACGTGCTGCGTCACTTGGACGCGACAGAGGCGAGCCTCCAACGTCGTGAATCGGGGCTGCATGAGGTGGTGGACTCGGACGTTGACATCCGTGACTGTTTGGTACGGCTCGAGGAGTTGTTGCGTCGGCAACCTGAACCGGCCTCGATAGAGCTATGGCGTCTTCGCGCCGAGGCTGTCGCGGAGGCGACAAAGGTGAACACAAGCGTCTTCGGACGTCGTTCGAAGTCCTGGAATGGACGGTTGAGCGTGTGGACGACGTTGTCCAGCAGTGTGCTCGCAATGTTCGTGATGCGACGAATCGTTCGTGCGAGCATGCGCGTCGTCTTGTTGCCTTGAAGAGTCAAGTGGTGAGCCGTGAGGGACTTGTTCCTCAGCCGATGAGCTAGGCTGGGCGTCGCCAGACCGAGGTATGTGCCGCTTGACCTTGCCGACCTAAAACGTCGGGTGGATTCGCCAGTCGTCTGGCAGTTCGAGCCGCAACGAGGTTGCGCGGACTATCTTCTTGATAGGGAAAGGCCCGATCCAAGAGGCCTGGAGCTTAGGGTTGCCCAACACAGTCGGAGGGACCGCCGACTTGTGGATGTAGACTAAGTCTCCCAATTCGAACTTGGTCGTGTTGCTTCGACCTTTCTCGTTCGCTTGTCTTGCTTTCTGCTGTTGCTCGTGGGCGATGTTGTTACCCAATTGGCGCATGGACGAACTACGTAGTCGCAGGAATTCTTTGATCGACGAAGTCGTTCGTGGTCCAGGGGAGGTTCCTCCCACACTCAAATTGGGAACACCAGGGTCCGCGGGCAAGCGCGGAGGCGTTTATCGTTGGCGTAAAGCGAGGAAAACCCGGTTGAAGCGTGAACCGTCGCGTTGTACGCGAATTCAACTTGTTGGAACAGGGAGCTCCACGTTCGAGGCTTGGACACAGCGTAGCTGCGCAGAAGATCCTCGATGACGCGATTGACGCGTTCGGTCTGTCTATCGGGATCGGGATGGTCCGCCGATGACATGTTGAGCCGCGTGCCAACGCGAGAAAACAGGTGCTTTCAGAACGCGGAAGTGAAACGTGGGTCTCGATCGGAGACGATGGACGTCGGAAGTCCGAACCGACAATACACGTTGTCGAAGAAGAGGGCGGCACAGCGTTTCGCTGTGATGGTGTCCTTGACGGGGACGGCCACAAGATATTTCGACCCTCGGTCGATGCACACCCAAATGCCCGTGTTCCCGCGCTGATCGCGAGGAAGACCGAAGATAAAGTCCATGCTTACGGACTACCAGAGCTCTTGAGGGATTTCCAGACTTTGAAGAGGCGCTCGCGTCGATGCGGAAGCCTTGACGGTCTGGCAGATGTCGCATGACGCGACATAGCGAGCCACTTGCTTGTTCAAACGCGGCCACCAAAAGTGGCGAGCAATCGACGTGAACTTCCGTTCACGGCCAAAATGACCGGCGCTGGGCGAGTCGTGGAACTCGTGCAGGATTGCCTGTCGGAGAAAAGGGTCGCAGGGAATTGAGACGCGCTTGTTGCCACCCATGTTCGTGATGTAAAGCAACAGTCCATCGTGGATGGAGTAACGCTCGCGCTGTGGAACGCGCGAGGCCAACGAGGTACCGTCTCGGAGATGTTCGATGATGGGGCGCAACGTCGCGTCAGCCGCGTAGGCGGCTCGAATGCGCGACAAGAGGTCTGACGAGACCGACGAGATGGAGGACAACTGCACGTCCTCAGCCGACGGTAGTTGGGACAGTGCATCCGCGACGACATTGTCGCGGCCCGGCTTGTATTCAACCTTGAGGTTGAACTCCGAGAAGTACGAGAGCCAGCGCGACATGCGCGGCGACAAGTGCGGCGAGTTGATCGCCGTGCGGAGCGATGCGTGGTCGGTGTAGACCACGAACTCGGACGAGCCCAAGAGGTAAATGCGGTACTTCTTGAGGGCGTAGTACATCGCCAATAACTCAAAGTCGTGAACTGGATACTTCTTCTCGGACTTGTAAAGTTGGCGGGATTGGAACAATACCGGACGCTCCCAGCCCAGTGCATCGCGCTGCATCAAGCAGCAACCGATGGCAGATCGCGCTGCATCAAGCAGCAACCGATGGCAGATCACGAAGAACGGTCTGGAATAGTCTGGCAGAGCCAGAATCGGAGCCAATGTGAGGCTCGACTTGATCGACTCGAATGAGTCTTGACATTCTTGTGTCCACTCCCATGGGACGTCCTTGCCGAGCAAGAGAATCTTGGGGCAAGCCAGGTCGGCGAAATTCGCCCAGTACTTGTGCAAGTAGGTTGCGAGGCCCATCCAACTGCGCAGTTCTGGCACAGAACTTGGCGTCGGCCAAGACTTGATGACGTCCACCTTGGACGCATTGGCGCGACATCCTTTGATGCCGACGTAGTCGCCGAGCACCGGGATCTCGGGGACCCCGAAGAGACACTTGGACAGGTTGGCAAAGAGACCAGCGTCTCGAAGGGCCTGGAACAACTGTCAAGGTGTGACCGGTGAACCTCCACATCCGAGGAAGTCGCGGTCGCGGGACTGTGGATGTACACGTCGTCGAAATACGACGGAGCAAACTCGCGGAGCAGTCGGAGTTTCTCCGTGACGACGCGATTGAAGGTGGCAGGGGCGTTCTTCAGCTCCTGGGGCAACACCAACCACTCCCAGAGCATGTCGCTGGGGGTGGAAACGGCCGTCTTCTCGATATCTTGGATGGTCATCAGGATCTGATAGAACCCGTCCCGAAGGTCGATGGTGCTGAAGATGGCCGACTGTCCCATTGAGTCAATGATGATGTCCTTGCGTGGGATCGGCGTTTGCGCCGGAATGGTGGCCGCATTCAGCTTTTCGTAAGCATGAACGATGCGCCACATCCCACTGCCCTTCTTCACACAGAAGGTGGGACTCGTGTGCGGGGACTTGCTTCCCCGCACGTGGCCGGCCTTCTTGCGGGCGGCGAACGCGACTTGGTCGTGAGGCAGCGGCAACTGCCGCATGACACACCACTTGGTGCCATGTACCAGATTGATATCGTGTCGGACGCTCTTTTCCTTGGGGAGACACCCCGGGACGCTGTCCGGGAGACATCTTGGAACTCGCGAACCAAGTCGAAATACGGGTTCGTTTCCAATTCCTTCCATACCGATGAGGAAGGGCGAGAGGCACTCGCTTCAACGGTGTCGTCGGTCGTCGACGAAACCATGAGGCCCAACTAATGGGCGTTCGTGATGAGTGCAATGCTGACGTTGTCAGCTCCGCGCAACGCGCGGACAAAGCTGTAGCTCATTTCCGGCGGCTTGACTATCTCAGCGGCTGTTCGTGTCACTTCGGTCAAGTCGCAGACCGAAAGAACAAAGTTCCAACTCATGGCCAATCGTGGCGGCATCGCCGATCGCGGCGGATTCCAACTCATCGCCAGTCTTGGCGGCATCGCCGAACGCGGCGGATTCCGTGGCAAGCCTCGTGGCCGAAGGGGCAGGACGCGTGACAAACTGCGTCGCTGACCCATGCAAGGGAATGAGCTCATTACTCATCACTCCCAGGTTGGACGGAGGGTTGGCCAGAGCGGCCTTGTGCATCATCTTGGATCTCCAGTCGATCAATAGTTGGTGAGCCTCCAATCACCGCATGCCAACGATGAGATCCCATCGGTCATCCAAGTCGATGACATAGAAGGGCTCAGTGAAGGCAAAGCCCTCCACGACAGTGGCGAGAGCCACGACGACATTGGGCAAGGTGACAACTTGGCCGTCGGCCGTCTTGACGCGCACAACGGATTGCGCGGGAGCACGCTGGACTGAATCATCGTAAATCGAGCGATTCTCTTGAATCGAAGCGCGTCGGGCATAGTTCTCCGACGCCCCGCAATCCACCAGGACGAGGAACAGGCGTTCGTATCCAGGGATACGGCTGCTGAAAGACAGCATGCGAGAAGGCTGTCTTCCGATTCGACACAGTATCAATGTGTCCGAGGCAGGATATGCCGACAGGGCTATGCCGCACAATCAAATGACATACCCTTGGATGCCTCAGTAGGCGCGAGGCGCACTATTGAGGACTTCCATTTCCCTGTCCGCGAGGATGCTCGCGGCTCGTGCGCGCTTCAGAATGAGCGGTAATGCGCCAAGAGCCAGCGGCAGGGAAGACGGCTACGCGCGCCGATGGTCGAGGGAGTCGCCGAGGTTGGCGACACTCACAGGAGAAGAGGCCCGGCCGGTTGCAGTTATATCAACGACGGTCTCTGCCAGTCGGTAGGATGGCAGACACTTTCATATCGGAAGAGTCGCGGACCTTCACCCTGCGTGTCTGGGTAACCGAGAAATCTTTGGCGAAGGCGATGCGGACAGCGTCTTCGAACGTCAAAAGATACGTCCGGAACAGCTGCGTCCGCGCAGCGGTGTCGTTCAGACCATTCATGAAAATGTTCACCTTGTTGTCTTCCCATAGTGACGACTTCTTCGTCACGCAGGAGGCAAGGAAGCGGAGGTCGTGGACATACTCGCGAATCGAACACTTGCCTTGTTTCGCGGAGAGGTACATGCGGAGAGGTACTCCGCATGGAAGCGAAAGTCGCTATTGGCGGGTAGGAAAGCCGTATTGAGGTTGTCGACGAAATCGTCGAAGGATTCGAAGGAGAAGTCCTCCTCATGCGTAAGGCCCCAGGCCCAGTCTTCAGCGCATCCTGTCAGATAGGATAT